GTATATAACAAAGTATTGAGAAACTTTTGTTATTGACCAAATACTTATTTTCCACCATAATTTGCAAATAAATTCATTAAAAATCCTACAATGTGATTTTCTGGAATTTCTTTTCTGATTTTGTCTGTCATAGTTTACGTGTACCTATGATGAAAATTACAGGCCTCTCTCATCTTTTTAAGTGGGAGAACATGCACAATGGGTGGCTGACTAAATACTTTTTTTCCCCACTGTATATATTGGCATTTGTCCTATTTTGTTGCCTTACAACCTGGAATTAAAATGGATTTTTTGGGGGGTTTGTATCATTAGATTTACACAACATGCCTACCACTTTGAGGATGCAAAATATGTTTTATTGTGAAACAAACAAGAAATAAGAAAAAAAACATAACTATTCACCCCCCCAAAGTCAACACTTTGCAAAGCCACCTTTTGCAACAATTACAGCTGCAAGTCTCTTGGGGTATGTCTCTATAAGCTTGGCACATCTAGCCACTGGGATATTTGCCCATTCTTCAAGGCAAAACTGCTCCAGCTCCTTCAAGTTGGATGGGTTCCGCTTGTGTACAGCAATCTTCAAGTCATACCACAGATTCTCAATTGGATTGAGGTCTGGGCTTTGACTAGGCCATTCCAAGACATTTAAATGTTTCCCTTAAGCCACTTGAGTGTTGCTTTAGCAGTATGCTTTGGGTCATTGTCCTGCTGAAAGGTGAACCTCTGTCCCAGTCTCAAATCTCTGGAAAACTGAAACAGGTTTCCCTCAAGAATTTCCCTGTATTTAGTGCCATCCATCATTCCTTCAATTCTGACCAGTTTCCCAGTCCCTGCCGATGAAAAACATCCCCACAGCATGATGCTGCCACCACCATGCTTCACTGTGGGGATGGTGTTCTCGGGGTGGTGAGAGGTGTTGGGTTTGCGCCAGACATAGCGTTTTCCTTGATGGCCAAAAAGCTCAATTTTAGTCTCATCTACCTTCTTCCATATGTTTGGGGAGTCTCCCACATGCCTTTTGGCGAACATCAATCGTGTTTGCTTATTTTTTTCTTTAAGCAATGGCTTTTTTCTGGCCACTCTTCCGTAAAGGCCAGCTCTGTGGAGTATACGGCTTAAAGTGGTCCTATGGACAGATACTCCAATCTCCACTGTGGAGCTTTGCAGCTTCTTCAGGGTTATCTTTGGTCTCTTTGTTGCCTCTGATTAATACCGTCCTTGCCTGGTCCGTGAGTTTTGGTGGGCGGCCCTCTCTTGGCAGTTTTGTTGTTGTGCCATATTCTTTCAATTTTTTTATAATGGATTTAATGGTGCTCCGTGGGGAAGTTTCTGATATTTTTTTATAACCCAACCCTGATCTGTACTTCTCCACAACTTTGTCCCTGACCTGTTTGGAGAGCTCCTTGGTCTTCATGGTGCCGCTTGCTTGGTGGTGCCCCTTGCTTAGTGGTGTTGCAGACTCTGGGGCCTTTCAGAACAGGTGTACAGTGGGGGAAAAAAGTATTTAGTCAGCCACCAATTGTGCAAGTTCTCCCACTTAAAAATATGAGAGAGGCCTGTCATTTTCATCATAGGTACACGTCAACTATGACAGACAAAATGAGGAAAAAAATCCAGAAAATCACATTGTAGGATTTTTAATGAATTTATTTGCAAATTATGGTGGAAAATAAGTTTTTGGTCAATAACAAAAGTTTCTCAATACTTTGTTATATACCCTTTGTTGGCAATGACACAGGTCAAACGTTTTCTGTAAGTCTTCACAAGGTTTTCACACACTGTTGCTGGTATTTTGGCCCATTCCTCCATGCAGATCTCCTCTAGAGCAGTGATGTTTTGGGGCTGTCGCTGGGCAACACGGACTTTCAACTCCCTCCAAAGATTTTCTATGGGGTTGAGATCTGGAGACTGGCTAGGCCACTCCAGGACCTTGAAATGCTTCTTACGAAGCCACTCCTTCGTTGCCCGGGCGGTGTGTTTGGGATTATTGTCATGCTGAAAGACCCAGCCACTTTTCATCTTCAATGCCCTTGCTGATGGAAGGAGGTTTTCACTCAAAATCTCACGATACATGGCCCCATTCATTCTTTCCTTTACACGGATCAGTCATCCTGGTCCCTTTGCAGAAAAACAGCCCCAAAGCATGATGTTTCCACCCCCATGCTTCACAGTAGGTATGGTGTTCTTTGGATGCAACTCAGCATTCTTTGTCCTCCAAACATGACGAGTTTTTACCAAAAAGTAATATTTTGGTTTCATCTGACCATATGACATTCTCCCAATCCTCTTCTGGATCATCCAAACTTCAGACGGGCCTGGACATGTACTGTCATAAGCAGGGGGACACGTCTGGCACTGCAGGATTTGAGTCCCTGTCGGCGTAGTGTGTTACTGATGGTAGGCTTTGTTACTTTGGTCCCAGCTCTCTGCAGGTCATTCACTAGGTCCCCCCGTGTGGTTCTGGGATTTTTGCTCACCGTTCTTGTGATCATTTTGACCCCACGGGGTGAGATCTTGCGTGGAGCCCCAGATCGAGGGAGATTATCAGTGGTCTTGTATGTCTTCCATTTCCTAATAATTGCTCCCACAGTTGATTTCTTCAAACCAAGCTGCTTACCTATTGCAGATTCAGTCTTCCCAGCCTGGTGCAGGTCTACAAATTTGTTTCTGGTGTCCTTTGACAGCTCTTTGGTCTTGGCCATAGTGGAGTTTGGAGTGTGACTGTTTGAGGTTGTGGACAGGTGTCTTTTATACTGATAACAAGTTCAAACAGGTGCCATTAATACAGGTAACGAGTGGAGGACAGAGGAGCCTCTTAAAGAAGAAGTTACAGGTCTGTGAGAGCCAGAAATCTTGCTTGTTTGTAGGTGACCAAATACTTATTTTCCACCATAATTTGCAAATAAATTCATAAAAAATCCTACAATGTGATTTTCTGGATTTTTTTCTCTCAATTTGTCTGTCATAGTTGACGTGTACCTATGATGAAAATTACAGGCCTCTCTCATCTTTTTAAGTGGGAGAACTTGCACAATTGGTGGCTGACTAACTACTTTTTTCCCCCACTGTATATATACTGAGATCATGTGACAGATCATGTGACACTTAAATCGCACACAGGTGGACTTTATTTAACTAATTATGTGACTTCTGAAGATAATTGGTTGCACCAGATCTTATTTAGGGGCTTCATAGCAAATGGGGGTGAATAGATATGCGTGCACCACTTTTCCGTTATTTTCCGAGTTTTTTCATTTCACTTCACCAATTTGGACTATGTTGTGTATGTCCATTACATAAAATCCAAATAAAAATCCATTTAAATTACAGGTTGTAATGCAACAAAATAGGAAAAACGCCAAGGGGGATGAATACTTTTGCAAGGCACTGTACCTTCCAAAAGTGTTGAAAAGCACATATCTCCCATTCGTAACACTGCCCTAATCCATCAAATGTTCTCATAGTAAAGTGTAACGTGTTTTTTTTTTTTTACTTCTCTGTCTCCTATCCTGTTCCCTTTAACTCTGCTCCTGTTCTCCAGGACGTAGGGGTTCTGCCCAACACCCAGACGTGGATCCACCTGATGTCCTCCGTTACCAACCACCTTCCAGCTTTTCATTACATCATCTACAGCTACTGTTATTGTCATGTTGTCATTATCGACTAAGAACGTTTTCTTGCTCTATCATTCTGGGCACATAATATGTGAGATACTTAGATTAACTAAAAACACTAGCACTGCAAACACTCAGAACAAAGAGAGCAGCAGAGCCTGGACTTTGCAGTCTCCCTCTTCAAGTCCCCCTTTCGAGACTGGCTGCCTGTTGAGAAAAAGTGACATGCAGAACCTCCCACCCACACAGCAACCACCTCCTCTATATTCCACACACCAGAATTCAGTATTTTAGTCTGATTGCCATGCGAGTGTACAAAAAAAAATCGGAAAATATATTGACACAACTGTACCAAAAAATATAAAAATATGTATTAAAATCTTAAATATTGCCATGTTGGTTTTCACAGCTGTTTCACAAGGTGTTCATTATTGTAAGTTGTAAGATATCCTTTGATGGTATTTATTTGTTCCACATTATTCATTGTTGTATGCTAGGACCTACAATAGATACATATATATTCAACCACATGGGTGTACTAATGAGCTATGCGAGATAGAAAAAAATGAATCATAAGAGGACTCCTGAAATTATACTATTTCAGTGTAGACAAGAGAAGGGCAGGTTAAAATAAAAACATGACAGCCAGACAAGCCAGTGTATGAATCAAACGGATTTGCATATGAATTGAGTGGAAATTTGCTGACTTCGTGATCTGTAAAGTAAGTAACATTAACGTGTCAAGCAGATTACACGTTTTCTTTGCCATTTCCGAAACGTAGCAACATTTAAGACATGGATTTAATGTTAACAAGGTACCCAAAAGTAGTTTGAAGTAACGTTTATATTTTATTAGCTAAATAAAACTTGTTTAAACAGCGAAATTGTCACGGAAATCACCCTTGTTTGCATAGCGAATGATATAGCAACGGACGCTAATAGTTTATTGAATCCCATTGTGACACAGAGGGGGACACTATTTGGCATGACAGGCGAAATCTCACTTAGGGTCCCCAAAAGGCTAGAGCTGGCCCTGCGACCAGGATTACCAAGTGTAGATACAAAAAAAAGTATTCCCCTGGTGTTCCAATCTGCATTATCATCACTGCTTTCAATATACTGAGCACATATCTCTTCAATCTGGGTATTCAATCCCAATGAAAGCACTCCAAGCACTAGTACAGAAAATGTATTTGTTTTATTCATTCCGGTTTACATACAGACACACTGTAGAGATTCATGCTACGGTAGTATAGTCAAATGCAAAACCATGCTCTCATTCCAGCTCCTATTGGAATAAACATTCTCAGAAATATTAATAAAGTAAAACTGTTATACTTTCAACTTGTTTGCAATCAGACATATCAAACCTACAGTAGTGGTTGTGTGTATATATATATATATTTTTTTTAAACTATTGTAGTGCAAACAGTTCCTATGTAACCGAAAATATCCTGGACAAAACCCGTTGGCATAAAAACAAGTCCAGAACAAATTACTTATTAATAAGTAATCGTTCTCTCTCTCAATCTTCCCATCCTTCATTTACAAATCTTAAGTGGGTCATTGCTATTCAATTGAAAGCACCAGGGTCGTGTTCATAAAGAACAAAATGGAAGAAAATAGAAACCGGGAGGTACGATCAGTACTTCTCCAATAAGAAACTCTTGTCTTTGTTTTGTTACGATGTGCTCTAATGAACATCAACCAGCAGACATGCCTGACCCAACAGCACTTCATTCAAAGGGGAGCACAAGGAAATTCAAAATGACCAACAGTCTTGGAACAACAAACTATAACATACAACTTCAATAGCCTAGTTATGGCTATGTTGCAAAACTTCACCTTTTGACCTTTGGGGAAAGCTTTTTTGCATGTTTGAGATAGTCTGTAGTCGCAGACTGCAATGTAGTCTGTCTGATATACAAATTATAATCAGTAGTCATTTAGGATGCAAGATGATTTGTAGATTTGTCAGTCTGCAGTCACCAACTGCAATGCAGTCCATCTCAAACACCAACTTTGTATTCTGTAATCCTATGTGAGGTGTTACCATTGACACAGTACAGCTCACACGCCACCTTCAGTCCAGACTACTACTGAATGTATTTCTTATGTTGGATGCGTGAGTTGAATTGCATGGTCACATGCAGCTTCAGCCTTCCAGCATACATTCTGGTTCACTAAATGCCAAGGCCCTAGCACAAACACTTGTCAATGAACCAATTTAAATGTTTGAGGTCCATCTGAAAAAGGTCTTACCATACAGTAGCTGTGCATTCTTACTATATGCTTTATCTGTATGTACATTATGTATGCAGCAGGCAGCTATGTATGTGTGTGTGCATGGCAGGTAACTTCATTCCGCAAACATGCACAGGTATCTCAGCATACTGTAAATGCCAAATGTTCCCAATACAGCTGATAATATTTTAAAATACATGTTTTTTTTTAGGATGTATCGTCTTAACAGCAGTAATATTGAATAGATTTCACCCACGGCCCTAGAAAAAAAACATAATTCTTGCTTATGAGGTAATTAATTAGAACATGCTGGTATGTGACACTTCTACTGAGAGGTGAGCTGAGGCATACTGTACCAATGAAAACATTATATAATCACTCTGCCTCGATACTGTATAAACCGTCACAGAAACATGGGCCGAATAAAAGGACCACAGCAAGTAGACAAACCATAAGTGTGTATCACACACTAGCTGTGTATGTTACTGTACCTGTCAGGGCGATTTTCTGAGAAAGAGGAATGGAAGAGGTAAACTGCACATAGACCACAGTTAAAAGGGGTTAAAACTGTTTGTAGCCCATCTTCAGTCTATCACTACTGGCCCTAAGTCAGGTAAGGGGACACCCTGGCATGAAGAGTGACACAGAGAACCACAGGTTGGGTTGACACGAAGGAAACATTTATGAAACGTTATCAGAAGGCCTGGGGCTACAGGAGACTGCAGGCCCGATACATGGTCATTCCGGAGGGGGACGTGACGTGCAGGGAGACGCTCTCATTGGCTGAGATGAAGAGGACGGTGCCCCGCCTCAGGGCGATGTCAGATAGGGCAGCGGCAGAGGTGGCGGTGGCCTCACCCTCAATCACAAGCAGGATGCCCGCACAGTCCACCGGGGCCACCGTGTACTGCCTGACTGAGGCTGGCACCTGGAGATGGAGAGAGTGGGGAGAGAGAGGAAAAAGGGAGGAGAAAGGGAGTAGGGGGTTGGAAAGAGAGGGAGGAGGAGGGGAGAGAGGTAGTAGGGGATGAGAGAGAGAAAGGGGGAAAAGTAGGGAAGTGGGGAGAGAGAAAGGGGGGAAAGTAGGGAAGTGGGGAGAGAGAAAGGGGGAAAAGTAGGGAAGTGGCGAGAGAGAAAGGGGGAAAAGTAGGGAAGTGGGGAGAGAGAAGGGGGAAAAGTAGGGAAGGGGGGAGATGAGAAAGGGGGAAAAGTGGGAAGTGGGGGAGAGAAGGGGGAAAAGTAGGTAAGTGGCGAGAGAGCAAAGGGGGAAAAGTGGGAAGTGGGGAGAGAGAAAAGGGGGGAACAGTAGGGAAGAGGCGAGAGAGAAAGGGGGGAACAGTAGGAAGTGGGGAGAAGACAGGGGAAATAGGGGAAAAGTGAAGTGGGAGAGAGAAAGGGGAAAGTAGGAAGGGAGAGAGGGGAAGGGAAAGAAGGAAGAGAGAAGGGGGAGAGAATGACATGACATTTTCAAATTTGACATAGATATGAGCCACACTGGAACAAATATCATAATGCCTACTTCAAGAGAACCATTCAAACAGAGATTATTGTCAAGGCGGTGTGTAATTGTTTGTGTTGTCTGGCATGACAATGACCATAGGAGTTGGGAAGACAGCACAAACAGATCTGGGACCAGGCTAAATAAGTAAGTAATAACCTGTATCCTCATGACAGTGAAGTCAGGGACAGGGGGGTCATAGAGGTAGACAAAGGGGTCTGAGGGGTCCTGTATGGAGGGGAAGATCTTGGCGCTGGCTGGAGCGGGGCTGTAGTTCAGCATCTCACATAGGGTGTTGACGTCGATGAACTTGGGCGTCAGGCCGGCGCGCACCGTGTTGTCCGAGCAGGCCATGCACTCGATGCAGTCTGAATAGCATTGAGAGAGAGACAGAGAGAGAGAGAGAAAGAATGGGATATAGGACGCTTTCTTTCAAAATGACTTTGGAAAAAAATTAAAGATTAGAAGAATTCTCACTGCTCTGTATTTGAGATTCATTGTAACTTTACATGTCAACATATAATAATATAATTTATGTAATAAACAAATGTCATATTTTAAATGTATCAAATATGTATTTCAATAGCTAATCTCATTGTATAACAACAAATAGATCCACACACTGATATAGCTCCCGAAGTGTAGTTTAACATCAATACAAGTGTGCAGAATATATTTTTTCCTTCTACATTATCGTCTCAATAATCCAGCACCTGGGACACGGGTTTTTATGGATGTGCGCATACCACCCCACTAAACAATAGCTAATCTATTGTATTATACACCACGTGGCCAAAGGTATGCTCGTCGAACATCTCATTCCAAAATCATGGGCATTAATATGGAGTTGGTCCCCCCTTTGCTGCTCGAACAGCCTTCACTCTTCTGGGAAGGCTTTCCACTAGATGTTGTAACATTGCTGCGGGGACTTGCTTCGATTCAGCCACAAGAGCATTGGTGAGGTCGGGCACGGATGTTGGGCGATTAGGCCTGGCTCGCAGTCAGCGTTCCAATTCAATGGGGTTGAGGTCAGGGCTCTGTGCAGGCCAGTCAAGTTCTTCCACACCGATCTCAACAAACCATTTCTGTATGGACCTCGCTTTGTGCATGGGGGAATTGTCATGCTGAAACAGGAAAGGGCCTTCCCCAAACTGTTGCCACAAAGTTGGAAGCACAGAATCGTCTAGAATGTCATTGTATGCTGTAGCGTTAAGATTTCCCTTCACTGGAACTAAGGAGCCTGAACCATGAAAAACAGTCCCAGACCATTATTCCTCCTCCACCAAACTTTACAGTTGGCACTATACATTCGGGCAGGTAGCGTTCTCCTGGCATCCGCCAAACCCAAATACATCAGTCGGACTGCCAGATGGTGAAGCGTGATTCATCACTCCAGAGAACGCGTTTCCATTGCTCCAGAGTCCAATGGCAGTGAGCTTTACACCACTCCAGCCGACACTTGGCATTGCGCATGGTGATCTTAGGCTTGTGTGCAGCTGCTCGGACATGGAAACCCATTTCATGAAGCTCCCGACTAACATTTATTGTGCTGACGTTGCTTGCAGAGGCAGTTTGGGACTCAGTAGTGAGTGTTGCAACCGAGGACAGACGATTTTTCAGCACTCGGCGGTCCCGTTCTGTGAGCTTGTAAGGCCTACCACTTAGCGGCTGAGCCGTTGTTCCTCCTAGACATTTCCACTTCACAATAACAGCAATTACAGTTGACCGGGGCAGCTCTAGCAGGGCATACATTTGACCAACTGACTTGTTGGAAAGGTGGCATCCTATGACAGTGCCACGTTGAAAGTCACTGAGCTCCTCAGTAAGGCCATTCTACTGGCAATGTTTGTCTATGGAGATTGCATGGCTGTGTGCTCCATTTTATACACCTGTCAGCAACGGTTGTGGCTGGAATAGCCGAATGCACTATATTGAATGGGTGTCCACATACTTTTATATATATAGTGCATTTCCATTGTACTCTAATCGCTTATCAATACACAACTTTAACACATCTAGTTGACCCTTTCTAAGAAGCTGATTGGTTGACCCCTGACCTCCATTGAGGTATGCGTGCGGTTCATTGGCACCCAGAAACATGGCGTCGCCTGGCTCCAGCACCACGCGGTTCAGGAAGTAGATGGAAAAACAGCCGATATCACCCGGATACTGGGAGTGGAGCTTGAGCAACAGTTCACTGTTACTGCCCGATGTGTCCTTCCCTGCAGCAGCTGAATGAGGTACAACGAGAAAAGCCTTTAACATAGGATCGTGTACATTAGGGCATGCAACAGAAAATGTTTTGCTACAGAAAATAATAATTAGTGTTTCTTATTGGACAAGTCCCTCCCTGTTTCAGTTCACTTTCTTCTGTTTAATGAGATTTGTATCTCAATAAGACTAACCTGGATAAATTAAGGTTTGATATTACACAGAAAGATGTCTTGGTGCAAGAGGTCCTTTGGAAAACTTGACTGAGCATTATGCAGTAGAAAATATACAATCTCAAGGAGTATATAATTTATAATTCATGCACATGTACTATTGATTACAGGGGTTAAAGAAAAAAATTAATTGGATGACTGAAATTTAAGTCAATCTCAGATCGATTGTCTGGGGCCAAGTTAACCTCCCCTTTCATGTAAGAAAGTCATGACCATCTTGCTTTTAGGGAAAGAGGATAACTTTTTACATGTATTAAACTGCGAGTTTGACCAATTCCAATCCCCTTGCTTAGTGGGTCCGGGGTCCTCCCTGGGAGAATTTGTATGTAGCAGTATAAATATAAATTTGCCCTCCAGAAATGGGCCCAATAACATATTGGTAAAAAATAATGTTCTAATTACTTTAACATAATGCACCATGCATATAGCAGCCTATGCATGGTCTCTAAAACATTATCCTGATTATTATTATTTTATTATACATATGAATATATAAGTTATTATAAATCATTCACTCAAATTAGATTTTTTTTGGTTTCTATTACAAAGTACAGTGCCTTCGGGAAGTATTCAGACCCCTTGACTTTTTCCACATTTTGTTACGTTACAGCCTTATTGTCAAATGGATTAAATTAATTGTTTTCCTCATCAATCTACACACAATACCCCATAATGACAAACAGAAATACCTTATTTACATAAGTATTCAGACCCTTAGTTATGAAACTCAAAATTGAGCTCAGGTGCATCCTGTTTCCATTGATCATCCTTGAGATGTTTCTACAACTTGATTGGATTCCACCTGTGGTCAATTCAATTGATTGGAAAGGCACACACCTGTCTATATAAGGTCCCACAGTTGACAGTGCATGTCAGAGCAAAAACCAAGCCATGAGGTGGAAGGACTTGTCTGTAGAGCTCAGAGACAGGACTATGTCGAGGCACAGATCTGGGGAAGGCTACCAAAAACATTCTGCAGCATTGAAGGTCCCCAAGAACACAGTGGCCTCCATCATTCTTAAACGCAAGAAGTTTGGAACCACCAAGACTCTTCCTAGAGCTGGCCGCCCGGCCAAACTGAGCAATCGGGGGAGAAGGGCCTTGGTCAGGGAGGTGGCCAAGAACCTAATGGTCACTCTGACAGAGCTCCAGAGTTCACCATCTCTGCAGCACTCCACCAATCAGGCCTTTATGGTAGAGTGGCCAGACGGAAGCCACTCCTCAGTAAAAGGCACATGACAGACTGCTTGGAGTTTGTCAAAAGGCACCTAAAGATTCTTAGACCATGAGAAACAAGATTCTCTGGTCTGATGAAACCAAGATAGAACTCTTTGGCCTGAATGCCAAGGAGGAATCCTGGCACCATCCCTACGGTGAAGCATGGTGGTGGCAGCATCATGCGGTGGGGATGTTTTGCAGCGGCAGGGAGACTAGTCACAATCGAGGGAAAGATGAACGGAGCAAAGTACAGAGAGATCCTTGATGAAAACCTGCTCCAGAGCACTCAGGACCTCAGACTGGGGCGAAGGTTCGTTGTCCAGAGCACACAGGACAACAACCCTAAGCACACAGCCAAGACAACGCAGGAGTGGCTTCGGGACAAGTCTCTGAATGTCCTTGAGTGGTCCATCCAGCGCCCGGACTTGAACCCAATCGGACATCTCTGGAGAGACCTGAAAATAGCTGTGCAGCGACGCTCCCCATCCAACCTGACAGAGCTTGAGAGGATCTGCAGAGAAGAATGGGAGAAACTCCCCAAATACAGATGTGCCAAGCTTGTAGCGTCATACCCAAGAAGACTCGAGGCTGTAATCGCTGCCAAAGGTGCTTCAACTAAGAAAAGGGTCTGAATACTTCTGTAAATGTGATCTGTTTTTAATTTTTAATACATTTGTAAACATTCCTAAAAACCTGTTTTTGCTTTGTCATTACGGGGTATTGTGTGTAGATTTATGAGGGGGGGGGGGGGGGGGGACAATTCAATCAATTTTAGAATAAGGCTGTAATGTAACAAAATGTGGAAGAAGTCAAGGGGTCTGAATACTTTCCGAATACACTGTATGTCATTGCTCCTTTAAGAACTCTGTTGTAGACTCCAGTTGTAAAACAGCATTTGTAAAATGATGCCACGCACGCAATCGAAGGAGTAGAGAAATAAACCTGGTAGCAATAAGAAACTGGGATCCCCCTCTTTTTTAACAAAGGCCAAAACTGCTTTCAAAATACATTTGCCAAAACTTCTTTCAAAAGTTTTACACTGATCTCAAAAACAACCTCTCCAGAGTCCATATGACGGAAATCCGTTGCAGTGACTTAGAACTTTAACCCCTGTGATTATAAAAAAAGCTATTTTTGGAACTTCCGCAAGAAAGTTGGGACCTAGCCTGGTCCCAGATTTGTTTGTGCTTTCTTGCCAACTCCTATGGCTATTGTCAAGCCAAACATGACATATTTGGCATGTCAATGACCACAGGAGTTGGCTATACAGAACAAACAGATCTGGGACCAAGCTAGTTGGGGTCTACCTCCATGGAAGTGTAAGGTGTCACAAAAATAAAATGCTTATTGTATGATGCTCACCTTCCTCAGTGACTCTTTTCACCAGCATGTTGAGCTGGTCCACAAACACTTTCTTCTCACAGTTCATCATACGGGTGAAGCACTTCTTCAAGGCCAGCGAGGTGCGGCCCGCCTCCCCTATACTGCTCAGCAGCTCCTCCGCCGCCTCGTTCCCTACAAGGGCGTGGAATTCTGGCACGGCTGGGACACACACATTTTACACTCTTAGCAAACTTGAATACAATACTCGAACGGATTGTAACAGTCAGGGCTGGCTCTAGCCTTTTGGGGGCCCTAAGCAAGATTTGGTTGGCGCCCCCCAAATTAGTGGCCCCCTTCTCAGCGGTGGAGAGAATCGTGCAGTTTTAATGTTGATTTCCTACAATTTTAACGGTAACATTTTGCTAATCGTGGGGATAGGGCTCTGCCTCCCATAGAGAGGGGTGCCATTTTTGTTCCACTTCCCCGCTTTCCCCATACTTTTGAATGCACTGCTAAGTGATACAATACGTTTCCACTAGCATTGCTATATTCTCCAAAAATGCTAGCCAGGAGATTCTGGATGTTGCTAAATAACCAGCTAACAAACTTAAAAACAGTTTGGATGAAACGGCAACACCCTAGGTAAGTCAAAAATGAGCTAAAACTTCAAATGAACTATCCCTTTAAAGGGATCATTGTTCTCTACTTCATTTATCTTAAAGTGAAGGAAATCCCTCAACTGAGCTGCTGAATACATTTTAAAACATGGACTATAAAACAATGATAATGGACAGTCTGCAAGATACGGGACTCACTTTTGAGAAAGCCAATGATCTCTTCCACAGGCCTGAAGCCACAGAGTCCTTCAAAGTGGGTGAGTGCGATGGCCATCTCAGGCTTGTGGTTGTTGTCAGGGTAATGCTCTGGAAACTGAGCATGGAGCCGCCCAGCCAACTCCTGGTGTGTGAGCCAATAGGGAAGAGCAATTTGATTACCAAAATGAAACAAAACACACCATTTTTAAATGTAATCCCCTCCTCCTCTTACTTTTGTTTTTGGGTTGTTCAGTAGACATGAAACCCTTGTTTTCATTTTCTGCTGCAAAATGCTTTGCTACTGTGTTCCCTAACGAACACGACCCAAGACTTACCCTGTTTGGATGGGCCTGTATGGACAGAGCGGTGTTGACCGACAGGACCTTGAAGAGGAAGGGAAGCTGGCCCTGGAAGGTATCTTTGACCTTTGACCCCAAGCATGCTGGGTAGTCTGCAATCCACTGACCAAGCGTCCTCTGGGCTATCCTGTTGTCCTTGATGAGGGCGTCTCCTTTGGGGTGAGCACCCATCCACAGCTGCAAGACACACAGGGAGAGGCCTCATTATTGACCATACAAGAGTATTTCTCTTTTAAAACAGTTGACATCGCTTTGTGATTTAGCTTCTTTGTCATCCATTGTGATCAGGTTTTTCAAAGATGATAAAAAGACACCTGAAAACAAACTAAATGAATTAAGAAGTATGAAAATGTCAATAACATCCAATGAATGACAAACAGGATATGAATAACGTTCAATAGAATGATCTTCAATGCATATACGATAGCCTAGGTGCCATCCTAGTTAGCTATTGTTTAGCACCAGAGGATTGTCTTAAACAGTAGAAGGCTATTGACTATGGATGCTGATTGCGGAGTATGAAAATGCATCTGCCCATTCACCATTGCATGTAACTATGTGTTTCACTTCGACAAAATGTCACCACTCCCATACCCAGATCTATTAACAAACACTCCCTGTGAAGCTGAAGCTAAATCAAGAATGACTTGTGACAGGGCAGGCATTGAGGGAGCTTTAAGGACAAGAGATTTTCAGCCAAAGTCCTGAAGGGCTTTGTGAAAACCAATCTGCAGGACAGTAATAATACATTGGAGGGGGGGGGGGAACTCCTTAGCCTATATAAAAGGGTATTAGTTGAACGCTATAGCCTACTGAATTGTTTATTTTTTTTTAAAAATTATGTATATCTAAATCCAGTGGGGAACTGTAAGGGCCTTCTACATCTTCAGAGAAAGCCTAAGGATTTATAAAATGATGTATTCTTTTTTATTTACATTTCTAGTTAATCTTTTCTATAATTTAAATGTTATTCTGATTTCTTCAGTTTGAGTTGGAAAGGGAAAGGTTAACACTATAGAGAAAAAAAGAGCCAATCAGGATTTTCTTGGGGGTGGACTCAGGGGAGAAAAATGTAGCCAGAAGGCATCTGCCATTTACAGGGGAGAACGACTGCCTCCTCTCATTGAAGCCACGGCACTGCAGGCATCGTTAGCGGAAAACAGGATCCCCCATTATAGTGAATGGAAAAAGTGCGATCTTTATTGTCAATCTTTGTGTAAAAAAAATATAAAAAAATTAAGACAATCATGGTAATAATAATAATTGCTTTTAATACACCAGATGTATGTCCTTGAACCAATTATTTTAAAATCACACACAGAAGAGTATAATTTACTTGCTAATGGAAGCCTGCAGTAGCCCGGTCGGCCTTCAACTAGAGTTACTGAATGAGAGGGGGCAGCACTGTGCTAGCATGCAAAGTCACTTCTTGGAGTAGCTCAAACTATGCATGTTATGTCTCCATGAAACACCATCTTAAACGACTTAATTTGGCTTCATCTGGCTATTGGGTCTTCACATAGGAATGAATGGTTTCACGTGTTCAATTGTTCAGTCATTGGCCATTCAACATTTTGACTTGCAATGGGTGGTACTGTTTTTACAATCTTTTTTTCCCATTTTTTACTCCCGCCTTCTCGAACGCCTAGACACTTCACTCTTGAGAGTGTGCGCAGTAGCCTAGTTTAGCCATGGTCTAGATAGCTTGTGTTGTATTGTGCATGGGCTGCAGACACAAATGTTATCAGGGAGGTTGTTTTTGCTAATTTGTTAACATCGCCCTTCAAGATTACATTTCAACAAGAAGTAAAGTTTCAAATGATCATAATTTGTTGAGTGGCACTGTTTTTTGCAGCTCACTTGCTGTTTGCTATCTCTGAAAATAATGCGTGTGAAACATTGTTGCATTTATACTTTAGATCACTGGTTACTTTGTGTGCTGAACGTGATAAAAGATGTTCGCAATGGAAAGTACGTTGTAAATTTCGATTTGGAAATTACCTTTAACGAATGGGTCGCTTTTAACAGTATGCTGTGTTTGACTGCTCTCTTTCTATCGGACGTGTCAATGTGTTTTACAAAACATTTTCTCTCTTGCACACGGAGTGCGCAGATTATGGTCGCTGTCCTTTCAGCACCATGGGCCTGTCACCTTAGATGTGTCACTGTAGACATCGCTACGCTATTGGTGAAAGTGTGATAGTGATGGTGTTAGGCTACCACAGGTTGTTTAAGCGTTTTTTGTTGTTGTTGCTGGTAGCATTATTCTGTGTGTGAGTGACAGCCAGATGTGTAGCTCAGGACCGTTTGATTCATTCATGATGTCATCAAAAAAGCATTGCTACTCCTGCATTAAAGCTAGATATAATGTTGTGCTCATTAAGTGATGATGATGATGTTATTCTTCTTGATTTTTGAGTTCCAATAGACACGGTTCACCACTGTCTAAATCTTACCTCGGCATAATGTTTGTCTGCTTCAATGACAGCTGAGGTATCCCCACCAACAACCAGCTTGGCCACCTCACTGTCCTGACCGACCTTCCCCCATGCATAGTTCTGCACCGCACAGGATAGTGGGAATACTGTAAAATGAGAACACAGAGCCACATTGAGTGCCTTTTCAATATGAACAACGTGCACACCAATTTTATCACAAGTCTACAGTATGACTGAGAATTGCACTTTTGAGTAAGTCCCTCCGCACTGCTGAACCTGCGATGTTCATTGAAAGCAAAACATCAGCTACTTTATAGGTTATTGAACCCAAACAACCATTTAAATTGAATATATTAATGTATCTCGTGTAAATCATGTGTTCTCATTTTCAGAACGCTAAACAATACACGATAACTAATCCGTTTGTGTGCTCTATTATGAAGATACCCTCGCGTGCTGTAACAGTGTAAACGTAATCTCTGCTACAATTTCAATGGATGCTTGCGAACGAAGTTGCTTTATTTCACATTAAAATACGAAAACATGCGCTGCTCTTCGATTACTGTTATATGGCGACATTGTCGCTACATGTGACAGTGTCATTAAAGGTACTTTACGGATTAAATCAATACAAAAAGGGAGAAATAGGTCTCACCTCTTACTTCCTCCATGGCTGTAACGTCGGCTATTACTGTAGTTCTGACGTCTTGATATGGTCATGGGCTCATATTATGCTGCGTTCAAAACAACTGGGAAGTAGGAACTCGGAAATCTCCGACTTCCGACATCAGTGCGTTCAAGACAACCGGGAACTCGCAGATTTTTTTTTTTTATGGTCATCCTACTCGGAATTCCAAGTCGGATAGTCTGTCATCTTTCTAGAGCTCCAATTTCCGACCGGAAGATTTCCGAATTCTGAGTTCCCAGTTGTCTAGAACGTGGCATGGATATGTTACCTTCAACACACATTTATGTCTGCATTTCCCTCTGCTACAATTTACTGTTAAAATGACAATAACATTTCTATAAAAAAAAATCTACCTTGACCTTGTCAACATTAGCCTAAGTAGGGAATGTTTCCAAATTATTGTGTTTTTAATCATAGGCCTGGCTAGTGTCATTATTACACATCGAAGTGTGTCCTCAAATTAGTATCAAAAACATGTGCAAATGTTTTGTCTATTTGTATTGTAAATAAATCTGAGACATGACATATCAAAAAAAAAAACGACTTTGATCTAAGGGTGTCGCGCTTTACTTGACTATCCAAATGACGTGAGTAGATGTCATCTCATACGTAAATAACGTCTGCGCACTAAACTCCATTTCAGGAAGTTACCAGTGCGAGAAGAAAGGAGCATATCAAGCGATAGGAGGACTGTGTATTGTTTATACTTTGAGGAGAGCTATAAAACGCCATTAAAATGTCGGGATTTGATGATAACCCATTTGCAGATTCGTCCAATGTCAACCCTTTCCAAGTAAGAACCTTTAATTCCACAGAGTTGATACAAAGTTGCTGCTAACTTTTAACCAAGATTTGCTAAAAAGTAACACAAAGAAACCTGTCGGGTGTGTTCTGGGTTTGTCTTAATTCAGGCGACGTGGCATGATTGACAAAGCTTCAGCCACTAATTTGTCATTGTCTGCAAATGAGGGTGGGGTTTCGCCGTTCTCTCAGATACAGGAAGTTGCAAATGTGGCTAAAATTGCACATTTGATAAAGGAAATAGTTTACAAACTGATAAGACTGGTCTACTACTCTTTCTCAACATCATATGGAATTCCACAAGTTAGCTAGCACGCCATGGCATAGGCTATACGTTCTTAGGGTAGGCTACTGTCAGTGAACACGTTGTCTGTCTCATCTGTTTTTCATGAACCTCAACCTACAGAATTCAGTTTACCTTAAAATGGGGAACAACCTGAACTCAGGGATAGACGTAACATAGTAAATGTAAATCCAAGACACTCCATTGGTATGATAGGTTACGTTTCATATGTTTTAATTTGTGGATGTCCATCATCCATTTTGTATGACATGTTACGAATTTGCAAAGCATATGATATGTTACAAATTCCAATTTGTTGTGGCAACATTAGCAAGGTTGCTAACACCAGAGATATTAGAGAAAGGAGGTGATAGGAACCCAATTGGGCAATGAATGGAGGAATATATATATATATATATATATATATATATATATATATATATATATATATATATATATAATGCCCCAACCAGCAGACTATCGACCAATCGCGTTCACGTTGTCATGCTGCGTCATGCAGTTGCTAAGATAATCGTCACGCAATCCCTTCTCAAAGTCATGGTATGAGTCGAGAAACGTGCCTATTTTCCTCGAAAGTACGTAATGTCACGATTCCAAAGCTATACAATATTACAGATGGCAACTTAATTATCTCACATCTCAGAAAATATTTGTAATGTTGTATTTCTTGTTGATAAAATTCATGCTAATGTTGGGTTTTTGAGCTAGCGCCCAATTGACTCCCATTCACTCCTTGAAGGAGAACTCTCCTTGTCCCAGAATTGCCCAGAATAGACCGCATGGCCCATTGACGTAGCATGGGCAACATAAATAATGGCCGTTAATACAATTCCAATGGAGTTTCCCATCTCTTCTGAAGTATCTTTGCTAACACTAACATTAGCTAGGTGGCTAATGTTAGCGAGGCGAAGGGTTAGCTAAAAAAAAGTACCTTAAAAAGTAGTAAGAAGTTGCTAAAGTTGCCTGTGATGAGATTCATGATGAAATAACATATAATTCTACACTGAACAAAAATATAAACGCAACGATTTCAAAGATTTGACTGAGTTACAGGTCATATAAGGAAATCAGTCAATTTAAATAAATTCATTAGGCCGTAATCTATGGATTTCTGGTAATACAGATATGCATCTGTTGGTCACAGATACCTTAAGAAAAAGGTAGGGTTGTGGATCAGAAAGCCAGTCAGTATCGGGTGTGACCACCATTTGCCTCATGCAGCGTGACACATATCCTTCACATAGAGTTGATCAGGCTGTTGATTGTGACCTGTGGAATGTTGTCCCACTCCTCTTCAATGGCTGTGCGAAGTTGCTGGATATTGGCGGGAACTGGAACATGCTGTCGTACACGTCGATCCAGAGCATCCCAAACAGGCTCAATGGGTGACATGTCTGGTGAGTGTGCAGGCCATGGAAGAACTAGGACATTTTCAGCTTCCAGGAATTGTGTACAGATCCTTGCGACATGGGGCAGTGCATTATCATGCTGAAATATGAGGTGATGGCGGCGGATGAATGGCATGGCAATGGGCCTCAGGATCTCGTCACGGTATCGCTGTGCATTCAAATTACCATAGATAAAATGCTATTGTGTTCGTTGTTCTTAGCTTATGCCTGCCCATACCATAACTCCACCTCCACCATGGGGCACTCTGTTCACAACGTTGTCATCAGCATACCGCTCAACCACACAAAGCCATTCTCCAGCATGCCAGTGGCCATCGAAGGTCACCAGTTGCCCACTGAAGTCGGTTACGACGCCGAACTGCAGTCAGGTCAAGACTCTGGTGAGGACGACGAGCACGCAGATGAGCTTCCCTGAGATGGTTTCAGACAGTTTGTGCAGAAATTCTTTGGTTGTGCAAACCCACAGTTTCATCAGCTGTCCGGGTGGCTGGTCTCAAGACGATCCCGCAGGTGAAGAAGCCGGATGTGGAGGTCCTGGGCTGGCGTGGTTACACGTGGTCTGTGGTTGTGAGGCTGGTTAGATGTACTGCCAAATTCTCTAAAACAACTTTGGATGCGGCTTATGGTAGAGAAATGAACATAAAATTATCTGGCAACAGCTCTGGTAGACATTCTTGCAGTCAGCATGCCAATTGCACACTCCTTCAAAACTTGAGACATCTGTGGCATTGTGTTGTGTGACAAAACTGCACATTTTAGATTGGCCTTTTATTGTCCCCAGCACAAGGTGCACCTGTGTAATGATCATGCTGTTTAATCAGCTTCTTGATATGTCACACCTGTCAGGTGGATGGATTATCTTGACAAAGGAGAAATGCTCACTAACAGGGATGTAAACAAATTTGTGCAAAACATTTCAGAGAAATCTGCTTTTTGTGCGTATGAAACATTTCTGTGATATTTTATTTCAGCTCATGAAACATGAGACCAACACTTTGCATGTTGTGTTTAATATTTTTGTTCAGTGAAATTGTAGTGTCCTGGATGTATGTCTACTGTACTATGTTACGTCTAGTTTGAGAACAGGCTGTGGGGACTGACTTCATAGCTTCCATGATGTCTAGACTGTAGGTCTACAGTTCAGCTGCACCTTTTACAAAGGGCCTATCTCTCTATAGACCTCAACAAAATTAATTGAACAAGCCTATGGTCACACTGACCATCAAGGAAGTGTGAGAGGGGTAAGCTGGACAAACTCAATTGCACATCAGCCAGCTAGCATATAGGCTAGGCATGAATATACATTCTCTGTTCGATCAAGAGCAGTAGGCTGAATTTGTCCGAATGTAGGCTACAGATCTTGCAACATTGCAAAACTCTGTAATGTTTCCTGTGACTGCTATGTAGAGTAGAGCAAACGTCTTCTATTGGCTAGAGCCACAGCTGGTAAATCCATTAAACAGTAGGCTGGTTGCGTAGTCCCATTTGAGTATTGTACAGTATATAATAACAATACTTCTGCATATAGGATGCTGCATACTGTAGTGTACAATACTAATTTTCAGTACTTTTGCCATTATTGGGTATTTTTCTGTAGACTAGATGTTAAACATAGTAAATATTTTCAGAATATAAAGTTAAAACATAGTTAACATAAAGACAAGCAGTACAGCTAAGTGAATACAGAGCGTGGTACAGAGCGTGGTACAGAGCGTGGTACAGAGCGTGGTACAGAGCGTGGTACAGAGCGTGGTACAGAGCGTGGTACAGAGCGTGGTACAGAGTGTGGTACAGAAGGAGGGAGGCTGAGCCAGAGTCAGGACATGGCACTTTGGAATGGGCCTGCTCATTCTCACTATGTGTGGGAAATATACACTATGCATGAAAACAGTACATGTCTGAGAATTGAGACATGAGGCAATGCATAAGGAATGTCTTAAATGTATATGGTTGAGAATGGGTTATCGACCTGCCATGTTTAAACCATATTGAAGTATCGATTTGATATGTTTTGGAATAAACAGAGCAGAGCCAGGAGATGGCTCTGTTATTTTTTACATGAGAAAGCTTGGTTCTGCCACTATCGTTGTCAAGTGAAATACATAGGAGGAGGAGTAGTCAGATTTCGCCACTATCATAAATTAAGAGAGTGGGCGGAGCGGTCAAAAGATGAAAGCTTGGAAACAATGGTGGAGGAACTAAGCTGGGAGGGTTTAAGCCAGGGGTGTCAAACGTCCGGCCCGCGCGAAAAATGGTCATCCTATTTATTCACGGAATTGAATGGGAAAGCTATATGTTTGGTGTGTTCAGAGCATGTTGCAGTGCTGAAAGAATATATCCTTTGTCGCCACTTTGTGAGTCTTCATGCTGACAAATATGACAACTTTCAAGGACAGCGGAGATGAGAGAAGGTGAATGAACTGTTGGCGGGTCTGAAGAAACAGCAGTCTGTGTTTACTCACAGCCGAGACATCAGTGACGCTGCAGTGAAAGCTAGCTACCTCATTGCTAATGAAATCGCAGTGGCTTCAAAACCATTTAGTGAGGGTGAATTTGTAAAAACATGCATGATGAAGGCAGCAGAGATTGTGTGCCCTGAAAAGCGGCAGGCTTTTGCAAATATCAGCCTGACAAGAAACACAGTTGCAGACAGGATTTCCGATCTTTCAGTGGATTTGGACAGCCAGTTGAAGCAAAAAGTAAATTCATTTATTGCGTTTTCGGTTGCAATTGATGAAAGCACGGACATTACAGATGTTGCACAACTGGCCATTTTCATCCGCGGAGTTGATGACACATTGACCGTCACCGACAGCAGCTGATATTTTTACAGCACTCGTCGGCGCGCTGGACAGGGTCGGAGTGGACTGGTCCCGCGCTGTCAGCCTGGCTACAGATGGTGCGCCCTCAATGATCGGGAAAAAAGCAGGCGTTGTGACAAAGTTCAGAGAGAAAGTGCATTCTGCAAATGGAGGATGTGATTTTTTTGACTTTTCATTGTATTTTGCACCAGGAGGCTTTGTGTTGCAAGTCATTAAAGATGGATAACGTCATGAAGGTGGTCATCCAAACTGTTAATTTCATCCGATCCAGAAGCCTGAATCACCGTCAGTTTGACAGCCTTCTCAGAGAGAAAGACCACATCTATGGCCTGCCATACCACACTGAGGTAAGATGGTTAAGCCGAGGTGCTGTGCTGAGGCGTTTCTTTGATTTACGAGAAGAAATTGAACAGTTCATGGAAGAAAAGGGCAAACCAGTGTTAGAATTTCATTCCTCAGAATGGATGCAGGACCTTGCATTTATGGTGGATGTTACAGAGCACCTGAATAACTTGAACAAACAGCTGCAAGGGCGCAACAAAGTTGTCACGCAGTATTATGACAGCATACGTTCTTTCAAGTTGAAGCTGTCATTGTGGGAGACGCAACTTGCCGGTGGTGATGCAGCTCACTTCCCCTGTCTGAAAAATGTGTGCGCGACCCAACATGTGGCGGACATGAAGCGGTTCAAAGATAAAATAACGGGACTGTTACGGGAGTTTGAGCAACGCTTTCAGATTTATGTTTATATGTTTTTATGTTGATGTGCTATTGTTTTTAATAGATTTTTATTTTATTTGTATATTTAACCTATTCTTGACTCTGTGGTTCTTGCACTTGTTTGGGGAACAGGATTTCATTATTTTTTATCTACATTTCTGCCTGAGAAATGACACCCTGATATAGTTCTGTGATCTGTGATATACTTCTGTGAATCACTGAGGCATTGTGTGTTTGTGTGTTCTTTGTCCTCAGAACTTTCAAATAACTTGAGGTGTTTTATGATTAATAGTGATGTTGTGCTTTTGGACACTGTCCTCAGGCTCCAGCTTTATGTTTATATGTTTTTATGTTGATGTGCTATTGTTTTTAATTGATTTTATTTTATTTGTATATTTAACCAATTCTTTACTCTGTGGTTCTTGCACTTGTTTGGGGAACAGGATTTCATTATTTTTATCTACATTTCTGCCTGAGAAATGACACCCTGATATAGTTCTGTGATCTGTGAAACAGTTCTGTTAATCACTGAGGCATTGTGTGTTTGTGTTCTTTTTCTTTAGAATTTTCAAATAAACTTGATGTGTATTATGATTAATAGTGATGTTGTGCTTGTACTATTTTGGACACACTGTCCTCAGGCTCCAGCTTTATGTTGTATGTTGATCGTATTAAAACAAAGAAAACAATCTGAAGTTGTTGTTTTTAAGTTATATATACCATGATTTTTCCGGTCCGGCCCACTTGGGAATAGATTTTCCTCCATGTGGCCCCTGAGCTAAAATGAGTTTGACACCCCTGGTTTAAGCTAATAAGTATGTAAAATGAGCAGGAATAGAACTGTATATAAACTGAGGGCTGAGTGTTGGGAAGGCAGTTGTTCTGCAGACCAGCTCGACTTTTGTTGCTTTGTGTAATAAAGTCTATCTTGATTCTACAAAAACTTTGGAAGAACTTTGATTTTTAATAAGTATAGTGATAAATGTCTACGACACTATCATTTAAAGGACTGGCCTAGTGTGTAATCTTGACAGAATGCAAAATCTAGGCTTAATAAATCATATCCACTGTTGAAATCAAAACTTACAGAAAACAAATACCAAGTAGGCTGTATAGCATGCTCTGTTTGCTACTTTTACTGTGAAAAACAGTATTACTGTAACCACGTCATATTTTGATTTAGACCTACAATTACTTCAATGGTAGCTAGTAGTTGCAAAGCAATCGCTCTTACTGTAGTTTCACTGTCTCTAGTGCACAATGGTACTGACTGTTTGCTTACAGGGTGTGTATGCGCCTGAACAAATAGCTCAGCCTATGTCTGATATTGCAATTCTGGGCATTATTACTCAATGATGATGAGGATATGACGTCTGACTTGCCGGTGGATTAGATATGAGTTTACCTTAGCTGTGGGCTTGTCGAACTGGAAAACCTTGGTAATCATTGGTGACCACACACACACACACACACACACACTGCCAGGGTAGCCTATAAAGGAATGCCTGGTGTGACATTGTCAAAGCTTACTTTCTAATAGGCTACTGGGCTAGTTCACTGGTTTCTCTATAGAGAACACCACACCCTTGTTGTTATTACTGCATTGTTCAGAGAGCATCCCTTCTGGTATTTCTTGTTTGTTAGGCCTATACCTTATTATCATTATTAGGTTTATGTATGTTTGTACCATCATCATTTGTTTCCCAAACTACCTCAAACATACAGTGCATTCGGAAAGTATTCAGACCCCTTGACTTTTCCCACATTTTGTTATGTTGCAGCCTTATTCTAAAATGTTCTCTTCAATCTACACACAATACCCCATAATGACAAAGCAAAAACAGGTTTTTAGAAATGTTGCATGTATAAAAATAAAAACGACTGAAATATCATATTTACATAAGTATTCAGACCCTTTACTCAGTACTTTCTTGAAGCACCTTTGGCAGCGATTACAGCCTTGAGACTTCTTGGGTGTGACGCTACAAGCTTGGCACACCTGTATTTGAGGAGTTTCTCCCATTCATCTCTGCAGATCCTTTCAAGCTCTGTCAGGTTGGATGGGGAGCGTCGCTGCACAGCTATTTTCAGGTCTCTCCAGAGATGTTCCATCTGGTTCAAGTCCGGGCTCTGGCTGGGCCACTCAAGGACATTCAGAGACTTGTCCCGAAGCCACTCCTGCGTTGTCTTGGCTGTGTGCTTAGGGTCGTTGTCCTGTTGGATGGTGAACCTTTGCCCCAGTCTGAGGTCCTGAGCGCTCTGGGGCAGGTTTTCATCAAGGAACTCTCTGTACTTTGCTCTGTTAATCTTTCCCTCGATCCTGACTAGTCTCCCAGTCCCTGCAGCTGAAAAACATCCCCACAGCATGATGCTGCCACCACCATGCTTCACCGTAGGGATGGTGCAAGGTTTCCTCCAGACGTGATGCTTGGCATTCAGGCAAAATAGATCAATCTTGGTTTCATCAGACCAGAGAATCTTGTTTCTCATGGTCTGAGAGTCTTTAGGTGCCTTTTGGCAAACTCCAAGCGGGCTGTCATGTGCCTTTTTAACTGATGAGTGGCTTCCGTCTGGCCACTCTACCATAAAGGCGAGATTGTTGTCCTTCTGGAAGATTCTCCCATCTCCACAGAGGAGCTCTGGAGCTCTGTCAGAGTGACCATTGGGTTCTTGGTCACCTCCCTGACCAAAGCCCTTCTCCCCTGATTGCTCAGTTTGGCCGGGCGGCCAGCTCTAGGAAGAGTGTTGGTGGTTCCAAACTTCTTACATTTAAGAATGATGGAGGCCACTGTGTTCTTGGAACTTCAATGCTGCAGAAATGTTTTTGGTACCCTTCCCCAGATCTGTGCCTTGACACAATCCTGTCTCGGAGCTCTACAGACAATTCCTTCAACCTCATTGCTTGGTTTTTGCTCTGACATGCACTGTCAACTGTGGGACCTTTTATATAGACAGGTGTGGGCCTATCCAAATCATGTCCAATCAATAGAATTCACCACAGGTGGACTCCAATCAAGTTGTAGAAACATCTCAAGGATGATCAATGGAAATATGATGCACCTGAGCTCAATTTCCAGTCTCATAGCAAAGGGTCTAAATACTTCTATAAATAAGGTATTTCTGTTTTTTATTTGTAATACATTTGCAAACATTTCTAAAAACCTGTTTTCGCTTTGTCATTATGGGGTATTGTGTGTAGATTGATGAGGAAAACATTTTTTAAAATCTATTTTAGAATAAGGCTGTAACGAATGTGGAAAAAGGGAAGGGGTCTGAATACTTTCTGAATGCAATGTATCCATATTTTTGGTCCCCAATGAATACCAAGGTTTGCCATCTATTTAATTGATTGAATTCTTAAATGGCAGGGATGTCTCTTCATCCTTCTTGGGAAAGCTGCCAGGTGTGTCAATAGAGCTCCTGATGGCTACTACGCAAGTCAGAGTATAAGGCCTATGTGTCACATGACTTCATGACCTCGTGTGACACATTATCATGTGCTGAGAGCAGACTGACTCTCACCTGTTCATATCAACCCCCATGTCTATTCTGGATTTTGTTTGTCTGTATTACTCTGCTCTCAGACCTTGAGTCAATGGGCCTTTTACTTTAAGTTTACTTAACGGTCCCGTAAAGAGAGGCTAACATCAATACTTCGTCCTTAAAATCGTATACAACAATCTTAGTGCTCTCTTCCCCTCAACCCTATTTGATAAGAGTCAATTCATGTTTAGCACTGCTTTCTTCATACAGCTGTTAATCAACGATTCCAAATGGCACTCTAGTGCACTACTATTGATCAGAGTAGTGCACTATGTAGGGGATAGGGTGCCATTTGGGACGGAGCCCATGTTATGAATGATTTATCAAAGGCATGTTATTACTGTGGTTAATGACAAAAACCTCAGCTTTCTTTCCATGGTAGTTTGGCCTACTTAGTAATAAAGAGATGCGATTTCTGATGCCCACTGAAATATCAAGTCAAACTGGACTCAGGGTTGAATGTGGTTGTCCCTGACTTACCTTTTGATACTTTTTTTTACTTCAGGAAATGAAACTTCTTGAGCTATTCGACCTCTTGAAATATCACAAAAATGCATAAGCAGTCTCTTTAAATGAGCTCTGATATGAAAGGCAACAGTCCATATGTCACATGAACAATGCCATTGTTGCAGCGCAATCTTTCCTGCGATGGATTGATAGGCCTATTAGATGAGGCAATTATGTTGAACGTAATAATAAGATTGAGCGGAGTGTTGCATATTGGCATTTCCATCTAAAAGGACCCATGAGCACCAACGTGAAGTTTATAGGAGTATGTCAAATAAAAGCTAAGAGTCTTTTTATTTTTGAGAAATTAAGGCACATATAAATGTTTTAAACATTTTCAATCCAAAAAATTAGGAATAAGCAAAGGCTTAGATTTTTGGTCAAACAGATGGATAAGGGGTTATCTACCAGAAAAAGTCTTAACATTTATTAGAAATGCATCAAAACACAAATTTTGAAATAAAGACCCCCGGCAATTAATATCAACACGTATATTTGTTTTTGGAGAAATTATTTAACTTCTGTAAATTCAAGAAACATTGCCTTGTAATTCCGTTACCAGAAACCCACATAAGATATTTTCTAATTTCTCTGAAGGTAGACCTACCCATTAGTTTTAGTGTTTTTACTGATATCAAGTTTGTTTGTTTATTATTTAAGTGATTTAAAAATTGTAATTCTGTTACCAAATTGGTAACTGAATTATCGAAAGATCAGTATTGGAATTACTGCAACTGAATTGGCTACAATGGGAAATCATAGTAGTCACATACCACAGTTGGGTAACTTGCTACTGTCCTCCGTTCCACTTGTATACTGTTATGTTCAGCTCATAACTGTGTTTTTTTTCCTCTTTCTTTCTGGTGGTCAAAGCAAGACTGTGAAAACACACACAGAGAGAGAGATTGTCCAGACTCTCTCTCCAGTTAATATCACACCTACCAGCTCTTACTGACACCTACCAGCTCTTACTGACACCTCCCAGCTCTTACTGACACCTACCAGCTCTTACAGACACCTACCAGCTCTTACTGACACCTACCAGCTCTTACTGACACCTACCAGCTCTTACTGACACCTCCCAGCTCTTACTGACACCTACCAGCTCTTACTGACACCTACCAGCTCTTACTGACACCTCCCAGCTCTTACTGACACCTACCAGCTCTTACTGACACCTCCCAGCTCTTACTGACACCTACCAGCTCTTACTGACACCTACCAGCTCTAACTGACACCTACCAGCTCTTACTGACAACTACCAGCTCTTACTGACACCTACCAGCTCTTACTGACACCTACCGTCTTTCCATTTACTGTAACAAGCATCCTCACCCACTGAGCACCGACCGACCCTGGACATCCATGGACGTTGAAATTTGGTCAGTCCGCCCTGGCCGGACCAAATTTCAACCAATCATGGACGTCTATATTTCTCAAATTTGTAAAGAAAAGTAGAGTGCAGTACAGTAGAGTACAGCATATTGTACTGTACTTAACATATCTACTGTACTATAGTGTACTCTACTGTGCTGTAATGTCCAAACATGTGAAACATAGATGTCTATGATTGTTTCCGATTTGGTCTGGTCCAGACCAACCAAATGTAGTCTTGTTTGGGGGCGGAGCTCATTACAATAATAGCCAGTGTGTAGAATAATACCTTATATATGCAAAAAAAGGATATTGCATATTTCTACCTTTGTGTACCTATTCAGGATGCATCACCATGAAGATAATTATATATCCATAATTATGCATTTCTGTATAGTACAGATCAGGGACCCATGATGTAATTCCGTTACCAGATGTAAATCCACTTCACCTACTATAGTTCAATAACCAAAACCATTTTTTTCAAACCCAAGGTGTCATGTCATAGCTGACACCCCATTCTTTCTGCAGACATCTTTGAATCTTAATTCAGATAAGATATTTAACAGAGTTTTTGGAAAACGTATTGGCATAAAATTATGCAGCTGTACAATTCTTCCAATAAATGTGTTTTTGTGAAATTCTGTGTAAATTGTTCAAAGTAGTCCCTGTGCATAGAGTTGTATAGTTTGTTAAACTTTGAAATCAATTGTTTTTGTGTGGCATATATTTTAAAGTGAAAAATCTTGAGTCGAAGCATAACTGTGGAATTGCCCATATAATGAAGAGCAATTTGTTGTTTTGTTTCAGGATCCCTCAGTTACACAAGTGACCAACTCTGGTGTAGACCACATTGAGCAATTTAACCCTTTCCCAGACCATCAGACGGTAAGATTACCTGTTGTTTACCCTGGCATGAACGCACGCACACACAGACACTCTATAATACAACAAACCAAACAACTCACTGATCAAAACTACAGTAACTGATGTTGAATAGATTGATGCCCATTTGATCACAGATTACAGTATTGTATGTTGGTGTTTGTCCCACCTTTTTTTGGTCTGCCATGTGTATTTCCTGTTTCAGGCTGGCCTATCAGGGCCCACCATTCCGGCCTCCAAGAACCCTTCCCAGCCTGCCGTGCTCCAGCCATCCACAGATCCCAGCCCAAAGGTCAGTGATGGTGCTTGTCACTAGTTTACTATGAAACCAAAAGCCATCAATGTCTTCACATGAGACTCTCTACCTTTCCATACTGATTTGAAGAAGCTATATGGAACTTTTTGCTTCTGGGGGTGCCAAAAGGGGTTCCCTAAATGGACAGGTGTATATAGTCCAGAAATTACCTCAGTGGACAGAAAAGGGACACCCACCTCTCCCATGAGCAAACTCATATATTGTTTGCCTAAAACTATTTGTGTGGTTTCATGAGATAAGTAATTGATTAAGTTAATATTATATCATACATGCATGTGAACCATACAGCCAACGTTCAAGCCAAAATGTGACCTATCCTCTCTCCCCTCCTGGAATGCAGGCCACGGCAGCTGCAGCCCAGACCAGCCTGCTGAGGCAGCAGGAGGAGCTGGAGAGGAAGGCTGCAGACCTGGATCGCAGAGAGCAGGAACTTCAGAGCAGGGGTGCCTCCACAGGTCACTCCCATTCTCTCTATTCTCTCCCTATACATGGGACACCTTATACACTTCTCACCTTCTACCTTTGAAGATATCCTACCTTCTCAGAAAGTTTCGGGTCAATTTCAATTCAAACAATTCAGGAAGTTACTTCCTGAATAGACGGAGTTGAAATGGAATTGACCCCCAACCCTGCCTCTCAGACACCAATCCTTACCTCTACAGCAGGGATGGGGTCAATGTCCACTTCATTTCAGTCAAACCAGGAAGTGAATAGAAATTCTAATTCATGAATGGAAAGATGAGGATCAACCAGGATACATTTAAAATTATTGCAATGGAGCTGTTGGAAAAAGTGATTGATGACATGTTAAATCAATGAATTTCTATTTTAATAGGCAAAGAAAACAACTGGCCACCTCTTCCCAAGGTCTTTCCCATTAAGCCTTGCTTCTACCAGGACTTCTCAGAGGAGATTCCCCTGGAGTACCAGAGGGTCTGCAAGATGATTTACTATCTGTGGATGTGTAAGTACACTGTGTGTGCGTATGCATGCATGCAGTACTACCACAGAGACTGGTTTGTTACTTTGTTAAATACCGCAAAGATGCTGACTTAAGGTATATTGTAATGTGAAGCACTGCCCCCCCCTAATACCCCCTAGAGTCGATATCCGCGCGGAAATCGAATGACCAAAATCTGTCAGTTTAAGCTAGAGATGTCTCAATCCACCACATCCGCCGATGTCGAAGGTGGCAGAGCTACAGCGGTGTTTGTCAGACCAGGATACATCCCGAAAATCGGTCTTCTCATGAAAACGGCTGCAGAGTCTGAACAGTTTGGGCTATTTTCACGGGTCTCGTCTGAAGTCGGTACTGCCGATGTGCCCACTTCTGTCTGTAGCATCCGAACGGTTTGGGCTACAAACTAATATGACTCCACCATTGAAAGCTGACACTTTCATGAACACGTACAGGTTTTGCTCTACAACGCCCACAAGACTCGTCTGAAGCTAACCCGGTACAGGGATGAAAAATGTATGTTTTTCCATGTATGGATCTGTTATTCAATGTGATTCTATGGGCTAATTGCAGTCAGGCCAAATTCAATGTTTCATCAAATATTTATTTATTTATTATATTTTTATACCTACAGGGGCCATAAAATTCTAAATCAAATGGCTAAATGATCCATGGTATGACACTCTTAAAACAATTCCATATGTTAGCCCCCCCCCCCCCCCCCCCCCCCCGCCCAGGCTTAGACTGCGTTTTAAAGTGTTGGTTGCCATTGTGAGTGTCTTTGTCAGTGTGACTAATGTACTATGTGAAGGGAACAGGAGGAATGCGTTTCATAACAAAGCTAACTATCTTGTTATTGTACATGCAAGACCAGTGCATAGAGCTAAATTGAACTAAGCCATGATGTACATCCACAATCTATATCTGTGGCCTTATAGGCTTTTCCTGGTATGCACAGAGCCAGCATGGTTTTGTTACAGAGAAATGCAAAGCAAGAGGCCGTTTCTTTTTCTTTTTTTTTACAGGACAACATTGCCGTATTTGTTATAAGTTAGAACAGCTCTTATGAATGCTGATATATTGGCATTGGGTTTCTTTTGTAAGAAGATCTAAATAATCTGAGCCTATAAGAATTGAGAGAAAATGTTATGAATTGATTTGCATTTTAATGAGGGAAATAAGTATTTGACCCCCTCTCAATCAGAAAGATTTCTGGCTCCCAGGTGTCTTTTATACAGGTAACGAGCTGAGATTAGGAGCACACTCTTAAAGGGAGTGCTCCTAATCTCAGTTTGTTACCTGTATAAAAGACACCTGTCCACAGAAGCAATCAATCAACCAGATTCCAAACTCCCCACCATGGCCAAGACCAAAGAGCTCTCCAATGATGTCAGGGACAAGATTGTAGACCTACACAAGGCTGGAATGGGCTACAAGACCATCGCCAAACAGCTTGGTGAGAAGGTCCAACAGTTGGTGCGATTATTCGCAAATGGAAGAAACACAAAAGAACTGTCAATCTCCCTCAGCCTGGGGCTCCATGCAAGATCTCACCTCGTGGAGTTACAATGATCATGAGAACGGTGAGGAATCAGCCCAGAACTACACGGGAGGATCTTGTCAATGATCTCAAGGCAGCTGGGACCATAGTCACCAAGAAAACAATTGGTAACACACTACGCTGTGAAGGACTGAAATCCTGCAGCGCCCGCAAGGTCCCCCTGCTCAAAAAAGCACATATACAGGCCCGTCTGAAGTTTGCCAATGAACATCTGAATGATTCAGAGGAGAACTGGGTGAAAGTCAGATGAGACCAAAATGGAGCTCTTTTGCATCAACTCAACTCGCTGTGTTTGGAGGAGGAGGAATGCTGCCTATGACCCCAAGAACACCATCCCCACCGTCAAACATGGAGGTGGAAACATTATGCCTTGGGGGTGTTTTTCTGCTAAGGGCACAGGACAACTTCACCGCATCAAAGGGACGATGGACAGGGCCATGTACCGTCAAACCTTGGGTGAGAACCTCCTTCCCTCAGCCAGGGCATTGAAAATGGGTCGTGGATGGGTATTCCAGCATGACAATGACCCAAAACACACGGCCAAGGCAACAAAGGAGTGGCTCAAGAAGTAGCACATTAAGGTCCTGGAGTGGCCTAGCCAGTCTCCAGACCTTAATCCCATAGAAAATCTGTGGAGGGAGCTGAAGGTTCGAGTTGCCAAATGTCAGCCTCGAAACCTTAATGACTTGGAGAAGATCTGCAAAGAGGAGTGGGACAAAATCCCTCCTGATATGTGTGCAAACCTGGTGGCCAACTACAAGAAACGTCTGACCTCTGTGATTGCCAACAAGGGTTTTGCCACCAAGGACTAAGTCAATTTATAACATTTTTGACATGCGTTTTTCTGGATTTTTTTTACTGTTATTCTGTCTCTCACTGTTCAAATAAACCTACCATTAAAATTATAGACTGATCATGTCTTTGTCAGTGGGCAAACATACAAAATCAGCAGGGGATCAAATACTTTTTTCTCTCACTGTACATGATAATGGATTGCATTTCTTAAGCACTTTTCACCATCTCTCAGCTTTACATTGTTTCACGGTCTCCCTTCATGATGTTCATAAGGGCATGCAACAGAATTTTTTTTAAAGCATTTTGCAACGGAAAACAAAAATGAGACCAGGTCGCCCCACCATGTTTCAGTCAGTTTTCTTCCGTTTGGTGCCTACTGAACACAACCCTCTCTCTCCCTCCCTCCAGTCCATTGTGTGACACTGTTCCTCAACCTGCTGGCATGTTTGGCCTACTTCACCGCGGATGCCACGTACGGCGTGGACTTTGGCCTGTCCATCCTCTGGTTCATCCTGTTCGCCCCCTGCTCCTTCCTCTGCTGGTACAGACCTGTCTACAAGGCCTTCAAGTGAGTACCAGGATTGACTGACCTACTGTTGAGATGCAGACAATTATGTAATAGCTTAAAGGGACAGTTTTCCAGTTTTTAACCCCAATCTCAATTAATTTCTTACCAGGTTTGCATATAGCACATTTTGGCATCCAATTTGTTTGCATGGCACTGGTGGACAACATTTAACATTGCACAGTGTTGTAGGAAGGTTAACATATATAGTAGGTTCACTAGGCTGGCTTGGCACAGATGGGGAAATACTTGCAATAGAAATGGTTTACTGTTTTTTATTTGTCAGTATTGACTTTCATGCTCAGTAGTGCAATGATCATGACATTTTGATGTTGATGGCATCCTGTCCAATAGCCAAATACCTGTAAGGGACGGACCAAGCAGCAGACACGGAGGCACAGAGTAGTGTGCAAAATGAAGGGTTTTACTTCCCAAAGGACTGCCTGATTCTGTTATTGAATTGACATCCAATGTGAGTTCGCTCAACCCTGTGTGCTCTCTCTCACTTCATTGCAGGTCGGACAGCTCCTTCAATTTCTTCTTCTTCTTCTTTGCGTTCTTCTGCCAAGTGGTGTTATTCGTCATCCAGTCTGTGGGCATCCCCAAGTGGGGAAACAGGTGGGTCTGAGGGACAGGTCTGAGTGAATGGGACACTATGGATGTCTTTTTTTTGCATGTCTTCAATCTGTACAGTGGCTTGTGAAAGTATTCACCCCCCTTGGCATATTTTTTTCTATTTTGTTGCCTTACAACCTGGAATTAAAATATATTTTTTGGGGGTTTGTATCATTTGATTTACACAACATGCCTACCACTTTGAAGATGCCAAATATTTTTTATTGTGAAACAAACAAGAAATAAGACAAAAAAACTACTTGAGCGTGCATAACTATTCAAAGTCAATACTTTGTGGAGCCACCTTTTGCAGCAATTATAGCTGTAAGTCTATAAGCTTGGCACATCTAGCCACTGGGAGTTTTGCCCATTCTTCAAGGCAAAACTGCTCCAGCTCCTTCAAGTTGGATGGGTTCCGCTGGTGTACAGCAATCTTTAAGTCATACCACAGATTCTCAATTGGATTGAGGTCTGGGCATTGACTAGGCCATTCCAAGATATATAAATGTTTCCCTTTAAACCACTCAAGTGTTGCTTTAGCAGTATGCTTAGGGTCATTGTCCTGCTGGAAGGTAAACCACCGTCCCAGTCTAAAATCTCTGGAAGACTGAAACAGGTTTCCCTCAAGAATTTCCCTGTATTTAGCGCCATCATCAATTCTGACCAGTTTCCCAGTCCCTGCCGATGGAAAAACATCCCCACAGCATGATGCTGCCACCACCATGCTTCACTGTGGGGATGGTGTTCTCGGGGTGATGAGAGGTGTTGGGTTTGCGCCTGACATAGGGTTTTCCTTGATGGCCAAAAAGCTCAATTTTAGTCTCATCTGACCAGAGTACCATCTTCCATATGTTTGGGGAGTCTCCCACATGCCTTTTGGCGAACACCAAACATGTTTGCTTATTTTTTTCTTTAAGCAATGGCTTTTTTCAGGCCACTCTTCCGTAAAGCCTAGCTCTGTGGAGTGTACGGCTTAGTGGTCCTATGGACAGATACTCCAATCTCTGCTGTGGAGCTTTGCAGCTCCTTCAGAGTTATCTTTGGTCTCTTTGTTGCATCTCTGATTAATGCCCTCCTTGCCTGGTTCCTGAGTTTTGGTGGGCGGCTCTCTCTTGGCAGGTTTGTTGTGGTACCATATTCTTTCCATTTTTAAATAATGGATTTAATGGTGCTCCGTGGGATGTTCAAAGTTTCAGATATATTTTTATAACCCAACCCTGATCTGTACCACAACTTTGTCCCTGACCTGTTTGGAGAGCTCCTTGGTCTTCATGGTGCTGCTTGCTTGGTTGTGCCCCTTGTTTAGTGGTGTTGCAGACTCTGGGGCCTTTCAGAACAGGTGTGTGTATATATACTGAGATCATGTGACACTTAGATTGTGCACAGGTGGACTTTATTTAACTAATTATGTGACTTCTGAAGGTAATTGGTTGCACCAGATCTTATTTAGGGGCTTCATAGCAAATGGGGTGAATACATATGCACGCACCACTTTTCCGTAATTTACTTTTTTTCATTTCACTTCACCAATTTTGACTATTTTGTGTATGTCCATTACTTGAAATCCAAATAAAAATCCATTAAATTACAGGTTGTAATGCAACAAAATAGGAAGAACGGCAAGGGGGATGAATACTTTTGCAAGGCACTGTATGTGTGGGGTGGAGGGGGGTTGTGTGTGCACGTATGTGTTTTTGTGCATGCCTGTGTGTATGTGCCAATGTTTGTTTGCGCCTGTTTGTGTGCCTTTGTGTGTACGAAAGTGTACGTGCCAGTCTTTGAGATTTCTCTCCATCTCTCTTTTTCTCACCCGATCTCCGATCTCCACTCTCACTCTTCTTGTCATGTCTTTGACAGATGCCTTCCTAGTAGCGTCTAGCCCGCTGGCTGTCTCTCTTTCCTCCTGATGACTCCTCTGTAAGTGAGAGGCTTTGGCTCCTTTTGCTCTTCCTGTAGTAACTCTTCTCTCCTGGCCCTCTTCCAATACTACAACCCCATCCAGAAACAACCACTAGCCCCCTGCTACATCTTCAGTGTCGGCAGATCTGAGGAATTAGGATAGATGGGTGTAAGCAAAATGGTGCTGTCTCTACCTAGACTCCCCACAGGACATAGGGGACCGTTCTCCATATTGCTTATACTTACTGTATCTGTTTGTTTAGGTCGGCAAAGGGGATGTTTCTGGAACGTTCTAGAAAATGCATCCTTCTTTTCTCCCTTTTGGTGTAATCACCGATCTCTTTGTCGCTGGATAAATGACAGTGCCTTCACCAGTCCAACAATCTGGTCAGATCTATGAGGGAGGAAAATGCACTTGTACAGAATTCGAAAAGAGGGAGAATATAAATGGCATTTGCTTGATTCCTTGCGTCCTCTTTCCTCACCTCCCTCTCAGAACCCATCGGATGAGAAGGTCAGGAATCATGGAAATACAATTGAGATTCTCCCAAGGCCTCTGTCTTTTTTTACTTCCTTCTATCCATCTGTTTAGTTCTGCTTTCCTTTGTCTGATTAAACATAAAGCTTCTTATTCTGTGTCCAATTTGGCTCTTAGTCAGAATGCTGTATGTTGCTGAGGATGACCTCCAGGAGGTTCATTGTCTAAAGTGAATTGCTTAGTACAATCTAGCGGAACTTAACAGATGCATTGCTGTGAAATAGTTGATAAGTTAATATAATTGATCTGAAATCTGAAAATATTTGTCATAAATTAAACTCCAACCTTTTTAGACCGCCCCATGTTTCAACAATGAAATAAAGTATTTGGGGAAATGATATAAATATTGTGAATGTAAACCATAGAATAGTTAAATGGTGAACGTAATACATTTTATAACATAATTTCATAGGACAATACATTCACATATTAGACTAAATGAAACTAATTACCCTATATTGATCCCTCGCTTTGATTCCAGTGGTTGGATCGCCTCGTTCACCATCATCGGCACCAACAAGGCAGTGGGAGCCATCATGATCGTGGTGGCCTGCTTCTTTACCACCTGCGCTGTGCTGTCAATCATCCTACTGAAGATGGTATGTGTATTATTTTCAGTATGACCACATGACTGTGGTGCTTTACTATAAACTTGTATAGACATGACTACAAATCCCATTGTTCACTTCTGTTCAAGCTGCTGTATACTGTTCTTACTAGAGCACATGACTGGTACTCTACATTACTACAATTGACTACCATACTAGCTCAGTTTGTGTTCTACATTCGACAATAAAGGCTGATTGCTACATCCCACTACAAATTAGGGCCGGGATGATACCAGTATCGCGATATTTGGGCAAAAATGAAGAAAGAAAAACTGCTGTATGTAAAACCGTGTGTGCTATAGCTTGGAAAATAAATACATGTGACTCTGGATGACAACATAATGATGTTTGTTTCAAACATTAGGGCTGTTTTCCTAAAGAAGTTAAATCTGCTTCGTGTTTTGTTTCCTTGCCACGATACTAACGAGTATCGCGACACTGGTATCGTCCCAGCCCTACTACAAATACCATAGTTCATTGCACTTCCACCTCTATATAGAATCTATAGACCCTAATGCCTGAGTCTCCTCCTTTCCCAGGTGCACAGCATGTACCGTCGTACCGGGGCCAGCTTCCAGAAGGCCCAGCAGGAGTTCTCCCAGGGTGTGCTCACCAACAAGTCCTTCCAGACGGCCGCCACCTCCGCAGCCTCCTCCGCCGCCTCCGGAGCCTTTCAGGGGAACAACTAGACCCAGGCCGGGCTAACTTAACCCCCAGATACATCCCCTCTTCCATCCATCCAACCCCCACCACCACTGCACCACCTTTCTGGGATGGGGATGGATCCCCCACACCCTGCTGTCATCAATCCCTTATAGGTCCCACCATGGAGCCTCAGTCGAAGAAACCACCATTGACTTAACCACCAGTCTGTCTGCTGGGGCTTCGGTAAGGCCTGATCTGGTATCTGTTTTTTAATATATGAGCTGTGGTCACCTGACAGCAAAAAAAGGGCACTTGAGTAGGAAACTGTCCCCACTCCCCACTGTGCTTTTTCAGAATGGAAAGCATGAAGTCGAATGGTTGCGAATCTTGCGATGTTATTCAGTATATGTGCACTTTCTTTGCAATGCCCTTTGTTCGTGTATGTGTGGATGTTCTCTTTTAGCTATGCTCTCCGGCGTGGATGTGTGTGAAAGTTTCCCCTGGTTGTGTCATAAAGAAGATGGCGTGTTTTGTTTGCCTTATGCTTGTTGTCAATTCAGTCTTTGTATATTCCTCTTGCATGTCTGACTGTTGTAAAGTAACCACCTGTTGGGACTCCAACAATGGTGGCTTTTCAGCATCCTTTAATTTCAATTTGCCAATGAAGAGAATGAGTGTTGCTTTCAGTAGGGTGATACCTGAATGAAAATAATCATGTATAAAGTTTAGTTTAGCCTGTACTCAGTCTAGAAAGACTACGATAATCACCTAGGTTAGTAGTTACCCGGGCTACTGTAATTATTAAATGCACATTTGCCATTATACTTACAAATCACCTCAAACTAACGTGCCTTCAGATTTACACCATTCCATTAGGGTAGTTCTCGTCAAAATGAGGTACTTTGTTTTCAATCAGCCTTCTGTATTTGTCTGCGTATTGGCTTTGGCAATGAGAGACTGGTGTTGTGTAAGAATGGGTTGAATATAGGTTGGTTTGTCAGCATAGACTGTCCCATACAACTTAAAGGGACAGTTCACCCCGAAACCAAAGTTTGTTTGTCGTTTTCATACCCTCAAAGTGGTCTATTTCACGATGTCTGTGATCCCACTACACATGCATTCTAAGAAATGTGTCGGCCTCAATCTCAAACCAATGGAAACAATGGGTATCTTAGTACAGATAGTATGGAATAGACTCTGTTTACATTTAAAGGCCCACTCTGTGATACCACTTTTACGGTATGATGGCATATGGCAAACTTGGATTTTGGAGTGGACCGCCTTGACCAAAGCCTTGACTAGTGCCTTTGTGAGGTGTCATCTCTCGAGTTTGCATCTGTTGCCATTGGTTCCTACGGTAACCAAGCCTTAACCAAATAATGGGAAAAAATACGTAATTAAAGAAGAATTTAAAGAAATTATGAGACAAATATTTTTTTCACATTGTCCTCTCCAACACGGTTCAGGCAACCATAGTGGATGCGTAACCAGGCCAGTGCAGTACATCTTGGCTCAGCTCAGTAGTGTGAAAAAGGTATCAATTAGATTGACATTCCTAATCCAACCTACAAATGATTGCTCGATTGTATTCTATGGATTTGCCACTAAGACTGAACATGTGAACAATGAGAAATAGCTTTATGCTCCAATTTTTGATTTTTAAAATATTCTTCAGAGGGGAAGTGGTTGTCAGTCAAAGCTGGATAAAGTAGTGCTGAGTGGTAAAAATAAATAAATCAATAAATCCGATATTTCTTAATAACCAGGTTTCCATCCAAACATTTTTATGCGTGTAAAGTAGATGTCAGATAAAAATAGCGCCAAAACAAAAAATACTAGGGATCTTTTTGTGTCAATAAAATGAATTATGCGAGATATGGAGGTGGAAATGATTTTTTGTGCGAAATATTGATATAACAACCATCATATTGAAATAAACTTGGAGTCACGTGATGACATGTTGTGTGGTCCTCCCATTATGACTCGGGGAAAGCATGCAGTTTATTAGGTTACAGATGAAATACATTATGATGAACTTCACAGGGGGTGAAAGTACAAGGTGATGAGGTTGATACACCTTTACAATAAATATTCAGGTGATGATCGATGCTTGGCTGCCATTTGACAAATAAACAAAATCTTGCTCTTTTGTCCATAATATGTCCATAATAATGTCATCATGTAGTAGGCTACCTGCACTGTATCTGTGAGCTGTTGGCTAGGGCGCCCGTGCCAAGACCAGAGTGGGCACATTCTCTATATAACGCAACATTTGTTGTGACAAAACCATTAGTAGAGTTGAAAATGCGATGGAAACCCATTTAACTTGTATTTTTTTATTCGGTACATGGGAATTTAACCGCAAATGTTATTTTTATGTCCACTATGTCATCACGCACAGCATTTTATCCACAACAAGTCAATTTGATGGAAACGCATCTCCTGTGGGAAAATGTTGATTGTTTTTGTGCGGATTTTTGAATATTTGGATGAAAATCTGTCGCCAATTGGATGGAAACCTAGCTACTGTAACACAATAGATTTTTCCCAAAATGTCCTAGAGGAAGACCAGCAGCTAAATTATTTGTGAATGGATTGATGTAAATTATCTATTTTGTAATTTTCATTTGTCACATTCGTAGGAGTATGTATTCATTGTCGGTTTAAATGTAACAATTGTCCGAGATCAACTAAGCAAATCAATAATGCTATTATGAAGAATGTAATATTCGAGCTAATGGTTTACTAATGGGTAAATATTTAATTTTCTGAATAATTGTTCATTGATATTGAAATATGTTTGGTTTTCTTAATATCTGTGTGAATATGACCATTTGTCTGCATTGTATTGGGAGTGGCGAATTATATATAGCCTTTTTGTATTTCAATGTTTATAGTTAACTTAGTGTCTATCTAATAAAAATGGTTTCTTTAAATTGATACAATTCTTGTGTTATGTGTTTAAATTGAGATAACAAATAAGTTCACTAACATAACAAAAACCTTCTGTGAAATCCTGTGTAATGTCTCAAATGGCTACTTTGGATTCTTTGGCCCTGTTAAAACTCTTTAAAATCCATAATTTCCTAATTTCCTTGAAGTGATCACGATCTTACCTGATTGGATAGATAAGAGCAAGGCTTCTGTTGTATTGCTTTTACCAATCCAGTGACATCAGAACCGACGTGCTCTACATTTGACTAGAGATGCCGCTTACGTTTAGGAAACTAGGAAGGAAGGATGCAATTCTAAAGTATTCGAATGGGGCCAATGTTGAAAATGCAGCGTGGCCTTCATTGATTTCTGCCACCTTCCCATTGACCATAGCTGCAGGAAGTAGGGGTGAAAAATCTGTCTGTGCCCTTGAGCAAGGCACTTAATCCTAATTGCACTGTCAATAATGGCTGACCCCTGGCTCTGACCCCACTCTCAGGGGGAGTGGGATATGCAAAAAAAATGGTGTACATGTGAGAAATAGGACAAATGTAAGCACCCACTTATTACTATACACTGTCTGGGGCTGCAGTGACTTTGCAGTAAAGACTGAACAGCAGGTAAGGCCCTTCCTTCTCTCCCCAGGGGAGTCTGGCTGCAGCCCAGAATAACATAACCCAGCCTCCTGTTATCTTCCTATTCTCCACCATCACCAAATGGGCCAACTGACCCAGCCAACTTTCACCTTCTCCTCTTCCTCGTCATCTCTCCTCTCTTCCTCCTCCACCTACTCCTATACCTCTGCCATCAACACATGGGCCAGACAGCATCCCAGCCAACCACCTGACCTTGCACACTGCTCATTCAGAGCACAGGCTGCCAGACACAGAGACCCAGGGAAATTCTCCTGACGCTTTACAGGTACATTAAACAGCAGGGTAGCTATTTATACGTCAAACAAAGCAATTAAGGTCGGAGGAGGCGAGGAACAGGCTCTGAGTCTGAACAGCTTTGGCAAGTTAATGAAGGGAGGGAGGCGAGAAGGAGGCCGGCATTGCAGACTAAACATATTATTGTGGTTTTATGTCCAGGAAGTTTTGGGTGTTACTTGTCAATAGTTGTAGTCAAAGCCTGGACCCAGATCTGTTTGTGCTCTTGCCAACTCAATGACCATAGGAGTTGGGAAGACAGCACAAACAGATCAGGGACCAGGCTGGTCATGGCCTATCTTGTCTAAAAGATAGATTTTGAATCAATTGAGTACAGTTTTGGAGTGATGGATGACTGGTATCAGAAACGGTAGGTGAATTTTGGAAACAAAATATGCTTTAAAAAGTGACTGATGTGTGTTGAGAGAGGTCAAGCAGCAGAGGACACTCCAACTCTTCAGGAGTTATATAGTACCTTATTCTTGACATTATTGGAATGGCACCACCTACCTCAGTTGGTATAGCATGGCGCTTGCAATGCCTGGATAGTGAGTTTGATTCCTGGGACTACCCGTACCTAAAATGTATGCACACATGACTGTAAGTCGCTTTGGATAAAAGCATCTGCTAAATGGCATATCATTATTATATTAGAAGCTTAGCTAATAGCTCTCTAAAAAACGTGGGATTTGGCCTATCGTAATTTGCAGCACTGCAGAGACATGAATGACAGGGTATAATTTCATAACGAGGAGAGACATTTTTGCCAGTAGATGGCAGCATGGTGGCATTTCTGGAATATGTTGGAATGAAGCGCTGACTCACTGTCTCATAAACATTTACATGCCCGTTCTATACATTTACTGCTTGGTGTACACTAACGGTCAAAGGTTTTAGAACACCTACTCATTCAAGAGTTTTTCTTTATTTTTACTATTTTCTAGATTGTAGAATAATAGCGAAGACATCAAAACTATGAAATAGCACATATGGAATCATGTAGTAACCAAAAAAGTGTTAAACAAATCAAAATATATTTTATTTTTGAGATTCTTCAAATAGCCACCATTTGCTTTTATGACAGCTTTGCACACTCTTGGCATTCTCTCAACCAGTTTCAGGAGGTAGTCACCTAGAATGCATTTCAATTAACAGGTATGCCTGGAATTGTGGAATATTTGTGGAATTTCTTTCCTTCTTTATGCGTTTGAGCCAATCAGTTGTGTTGTGACAAGGTAGGGGGGGTATACAGAAGATAGCCCTATTTGGTTAAAGACCAAGTCCATATTATGGCAAGAACAGCTCAAATAAGCAAAGAGAAACGACAGTCCATCATTACTTTAAGACATGAAGGTCAGTCAATACGGAACGTTTCAAGAACTTTGAACGTTTCTTCAAGTGCAGTCGCATAAACCATCAAGCGCTGTGATGAAACTGGCTCCCATGAGGACCGCCACAGGAATGGAAGACCCAGAGATACCTCTGCTGCAGAGGATAAGTTCATTAGAGTTACCAGCCTCAGGAATTGCAGCCCAAATAAATGCTTCACATAGTTCAAGTAACAGACACATCTTAACATCAACTGTTCAGAGGAGACTATGTGAATCAGGCCTTCATGGTTGAATAGCTGTAAAGAAACCACTACTAAAGGACACCAACAAAGGACACTTGCTTCTGCCAAGAAACACGAGCAATGGACATTAGACCGGTGGAAATGTGTCCTTTGGTCTGGAGTCCAAATTGGAGATTTTTGATTCCAACCGCTGTCTTTCTGAGACGGAGTGTAGGTCAACGGATGATCTCTGCATGTGTATATCCCACCGTATTTCATAGTTTTGATGTCTTCCCTATTATTCTACAATGTAGAAAATAGTACAAATAAAGAAAACCCCTTGAATAAGTAGGTGTTCTAAAACTTTGACCGGTAGTGTATGTACTCAAATGACCTATCAATGAATGGTGAATGCCTGATTCAATCTCACTCTGACTCTGACTCTCTCTCTCACTCTGACTCTGACTCTGACTCTGACTCTGACTCTGACTCTCTCTCTCTCTCTCTCTCTCTCTCTCTCTCTCTCTCTCTCTCTCTCTCTCTCTCTCTCTCTCTCTCTCTCTCTCTCTCTCTCTCTCTCTCTCTCTCTCTCTCTCTCTCTCTCTCTCTCTCTCTCCAATTGGCGAATATTCTAATATCTGTATAAAAACAATTTTCCCACCAGAAAATGTGTTTCTATCAAATGGACTTGTTGCAGAAATAATGTGCGTGATGACGTAGTACACTTAAAAAATAACGTTTATGGTTAAATTCCCACATACCTGATAAAAAAAGAAAATCGAAGTTAAATGTGTTTCCATGCATTTTCAACTCTACTGATGGTTTTGTCACAAAAATGTTGCATTATATAGCGAATGTGCCCACTCTGGTATTGGCAATTGCGCCTTAGCCAACAGCTCACAGAGACAGTGTGAGTATAGACTAAATGATGAGATTATTATGGACAAAAGAGCAAAGATTATTTTTATTTGTCAAACGGCAGCAAAGCATCGATCATCATGTCACCAGAATAAGACCCTTGATATTTAGTTGAAAGGAGCATCAAGCTCATCACCTTTCACTTTCACTACCCTGTGAAGTTCATCATAATTAATTGCATAGCATAATAAACTGCATGCTTTCCCGAGTCATAGTGGGAGGAACACACAGACTCTTCGCGTGACTCCAAGTTTACTTCGATGGTTATTATATCAATATTTGCGCAGAAAAACGTTTCCTCTACCATTTCAGCTTGTCTAGCATATTTATTTTGGTCTACATTTGGAACGTTTACCGACAACTTTGCTGGAATAAAAAGGTTGGTTGGAAACCTGTTTAGTGAAGCATTTCAGATTGCGCAATAGCAATTTAAAGGTAATTTCCGATTGAGCTGACA